TTCTAATTACCGTAGAAACTGAACAACTGTTTCCATGTCAACTTCGCGATCATAACGAGGAAAACGTGACCAAACCATACCTTTAAGATAAGAATTCCAAAAGGAATAAGAAGTAATCAACCTTCCTTGTTATAATCCCTTGCATCGAATGGTTTAAAGTACCATAATATTGCCATTCCTTTCCCCGACACCAATGTAAGGAAACCCATACGATATTTCAGGCTAAAGATAGTTGTATTTTTATCGTTTAACATTACTACTCAGGATGAACCTGGAAGGGACGTTGTTTCAGTTTCAGCCAGCCGCAAAGGAAAGCTTTTGATTCTCTTTTGATATCGTCTTTGAAAAATGCGTACACGAAGGGGTTTAGCGTAGAATTGGCCAAAAGTAGCAAATATTGAGCCCATTCTTCATATTTAGACACATTACAGATGTTAAAAAAATGGCAGATTGCCCAATGAATGGCTATTCCGTAACATGCTATGAATATGAAAACAAGCGTTGTTACCAGCCTCTCTGTGGATGATTTTAATCCAGCATTTCTAACTTTCTTTAGCTTACCAGTGTTTGCTGCTATATTAAATTGAACTTGTTTCAGAAGAACTTTCATCTCGTGTGAGAGTTTGCGAGCAATTAAAAGGATATGAAAATGTGCCGTGAAAAGAAATATTGTTGGTAACACTTTGAAGAGCATAATGTGAGTGGAACCAAATATAGCTCTTTCAGCGGCGGATAGTTCGCTTCTGGGAAGATAGATGATGAGGTCATAAATCATGAAAAGAAATGGAACTGTCCAACAGGTCGCAATGATAATGACTACGTTTCTCGTCTTCAAGAAACGGATATATTCTAGGGAATGAACTATAACAATATAGCGTTCAGCAACCATGGCGGTCAGGCAAAAAGCAGAAGCTGCCATGAAGAAGAGAGTGGTTTTTTTGTGAACGCCGTGGTTGCATGTATCCACAAGAAAATTGCAGATCGCGCCGGCCGGAAAATATTCACAGGTAACACCCAGATCGGCCAACGCCAAGGAAAGGATGAACCAGTTGGCAGTTGTCTGTAATCTTCTCCTTTTCGCGATGATGAAAACAACCCAGCTGTTTCCCACCAAACCAAAGAAAGTGAAAAAAAACACTACGATCCAGAACCAGACAATAATCATCTCTACTAATTAAGTGTAACTGTATCCGATTGTGAGCATTTGTTAATTAGTAGCTTCGACTGAAGGACATCAGTCTATGCCAAGTTCAGTGGACGAATTTTTACAAGGCAGTTCGGAGGCGGTCACTTTAAATTATACTCTGGCTGCTGGCTGCGTCAAGAATTTTAATGAACTAAATATTTATGTGCGTGACAGCAATTGATGACAATAATGAAACAAATAAAGTCCTTCCTAAGAACCACAATTGCAATAAAAGAAGTTCATAGCCGTAGGGGAGATCATTAATATCATTTACATCGATAACGTACACCGATATGATGAAACAGGTGCCAATGATCTTGCGCTAGAAAATATGTCCGTTACCGAACATTGTGTTTGTTATTCAGATAACTCAGTGTGTTATGTTAAAACAGTACGCGAGGAATTTCTGATGCGAACGCACTAGTGATTCTCTTTTCTCTGGTTTCAAATTTTTACCGTGTCATCTATCTTTTTCGGAATTTTCCATTGAGTTAGGAATATTTCCGCGTTCGCTGGTCCAACAAATACTTAGGACTGTGTCTGTCGTTTTCTTCACTTTATTGCAGTCATACTTTCGCTCATCTCAACCATTCTAATAATTCTTTTTTTGTTAATGTTACAAAGTTCCCTAGTTTTATTTCTATCACACGTAAACGACTTAGATAGGTGCATCCGACCGTAAACGTAAACTGTCAAACATTCATCATTGTTTCTTCGTGATCCAAGACTTGTGCAAGATACTTATTTCCTTAGCGTTGACTGTTTTACCTTGTTTCGACATTAAAACGACCGAATATGATCCGATTACAATCTTTAATTACCATTAGTGATTCGTGACAGGAAAAAAAAGACCACAGTTGCTATTCCATACAGATGTGCTTGGAACACGCAATACACGTTTCTGCACGCAAGCGCACTAAAATTATTAGAAAACGTGCTTAAACCTTATCTAAGAAAAACTGTTGGAAATGACACTTCAGCTTGTCACGACACTATCTGCCAAAAGGACAATTTCTGAGAGCTGTCAACAACCCTATTCAAAACGAAGTCCCACCACAGGCAACCCAAGCGTACTGTGTGTGACTTTGGATGTAGCGGCACTAACATATCTAGATCGAATTTCAAGCGTACGTGTTGGCCGTTAAAAAAAGGAAAAGCTATATAAAGAAAAATAAGAAAAAATTTAAAAGGATAATAAAAGCGAGGAATAAAACATGAGAAGTCTCCTTCCCTTTTTTCCGTAACCGCTTTGTTGCCAAAGATTGTTTTAACGCTGTTTTGGCGACTTTCTTAGTAACGCTTGCGGTGTCACCAGTCAATTGTATAATAGAAAGAATTRTGAAAAAAAATTAAGAAAAAATTAAAAAGGAAAATAAAGCGAGGAACATACCGTATGACAGGGGCGTAGCCAGGATTTTTCAAAGCTGGGGTCACAGAGGCTACTCACCATTTACACCGTTGCTCTCCCGTGTGTATCAGCGGACTCAGTCGCATTATCGCGGCATGAAGGCCTTTATTAACTAATACAAGAGCCGTTGAAGAAAATACTTTACAATAAATTCAAATTTTAAAAAAGTGGGCTTTTCAACAATGGCTTTTACAGCCAAGATATTGTCATGGCGTTTTCGCCACCTGAATATTGTAGGTTGTTTGCTCTAAAGAAGGCCTACCAAGGGGGGTCATACAAGGGCTATGCCCTTGTATGAACTCTCCTTTCCTTTTTATCCGTAGCTTCTTTGCCGTTTACGGTCCTTTTGACACTGTTTTAGCGACTTTCTTTGTAACGCCAGTGGTGCTGCCGGCCAACTGTGTATAAAAAAACTCAAGACTGGAAACTTCAACCGGTCCCTAACACCAACCGTCGCCACTCGAAGGCCGATAAATTCCATAAAAGTCGATCGATCTCCCTAAAATTTCCACCCGCGAGAGCGCTTAGCTATTGCCTACCCGTTCCAGCGGCAAACGTTTCCAAATTACGCTGCATCGATCTGAGAGCCGCTCCGTTTTACCACCCATTCCAGCTAAATCGGCTCTCAGATCGATGCAGCGCAATTTGGAAACTTTTGCTGCTGGAACGGGTGGGTAATAGCTAAGCGCTCTCGCGGATGGAATTTGAGGGAGATCGGTCGATTTTGTGGAATTTATCGGCCTTCGAGTGACGAAGGTTGGTGTTCGACACATGTTGAAGTTTCCAGCCTTGAGTTTTTTTATACACAGTTGACCGGTAGCACCACACGCGTTACAAAGAAAGTCGCCAAAACACCGTTAAAACGACCGTAAACGACAAAGAAGCTACGGAAAAAAAGGAAAGGAGAGTTCATACGGTATATTCCTCCCTTTTATTTTCCTTTTTAATTTTTTCTTATTTTTCTTTTTAYAATTTTTCCTTTTTTTAACGGCCCACACGTACGCTTGAAATTCGATCTTAATATGTTAGTTATTGTCGTTAATGAACTTTACACCCAAAGTCACACACAGTACGCTTGGGCCAACTGTAGTCCTACCAATCGTGTCCTCTTTCTCAGAAAAGTAACTTACGCTCAAAATTATGCTCGATTTTAAAAGTTACCGTAGTTTCTCGGTTATTAAGCGCACCCGGTTAAAAGACGCACCCCAAACTTAGCAACCTAGGCCTAGTTTATACGTCGCGCTACAGTCGAATTTAATTCAGACGAATTTAATTCCATTAAATTCGTCGTTCCGTCGACGTAACTCTTGGCGTTATTTTATGCGTCGGATCGAAATCAATACGATCCAAATGCAGTGCCTCTGGTCAGAGGTCTAATTTTGAAACAAACATGGTGTGGTTGAAATACGTTGGGAAAATGTATGCATTTCATTTGACGCGACGCTAGTGCGACGTTAAAACTGAAGACGCATTATCGATATTTTATCCGTCTTACCAAGAAGGATAAAACGTCAGGGACGAATTTAATTTACCAGACGAATTTAATTCGTTGCATAATTAGACGTCGCGCTATCGTCGAATTTAATTGCTTGCGGGACCTTGAATTAAATTCGTCTGAATTAAATTCGACTGTAGCGCGACGTATAAACTAGGCCTTAGTCAGGCCAAGTTCCCAAACTGAAAATTCCGTGAACATACTCGGTTATAAGACCCACCAAAAGATTGAGAGTTAACGAAAGGATGTGATGGAACTGAGAAAGTTTCACGATTGCTCTGGCGGTAAATGCAAATGGCGAAAAACTCACACCCAAAGTCATATTCAGAGGTGTTTGATAGCTGAATAGGGAGCTTCAGCAACGAGAACGGCAAAAAACAATAGGCTTAATGAGCAAAAACAATCCCTCTGCACGTGCGTTTAACATTTTGGTACATTTCTTTGCCGTTCTCGGCAAAACAACAACGTGAAATAACCAAATTTTAGGTTTTCTCGAGAACGTGAGCGCATGACGGTTAATTTTTCTTTCTTTTTCCTTACTTTCACGCTGTTCGTAATGATATAGTCCCTGAATAGTTCGCCAGCATTTTCCAAGTGAAACACATCGGAATAACCTCGAAAGAGTTACAAAAACGAAAAGTTAGACTTCGACACGACGTTTTCGTTGCCGTCGCCGTCGTCGTTGCTAAAGCTCCCTAATATCAACACCCAACCGAAGATGCAAGTTCAGTCGGTGCGCAAAAAATGCTGGATAGACGGAGAAGGTAGGTCTTATCTCCCATTGTGTATTCAGAGAAGGAACTTTTCGAGCGAGCGACACAAATTTGAAACGAAGTTCGAACGATTGTTTTGTTGTCATGGATATCATGTTACCGAGCACAGCAACAACAACAACAACTTTATTTGCACCCTGAATTAAATTAAATTTACATCACAAAAAAGTAATAAAACAAATAAAATAAAGTGCATGGCTGCCCAAAATTACCACCAGGCTAGTAGAATTGAGCAGCTATTCTTAGGATTTTAAATGCTGTAATGACTAAAGGTGTCAGGTACTTAAGACTAAGTAACACATACAACAAACATAGAAACACACAAACAAAAACTAGTTACAAGTTAAAAATACAAGCTATCGAAAATAAGCAAGAAAATACAGTATAAATAGGCAGATTAACTAACGGAAGAAAGAAAATGTATAGTATAATTAAGTCAGTTAGTAACTTGCAAGAATACTTGATTTTAACTTTTTCTTAAATTGTTTAAGTGATAGAAGCTTAATGTCATCACTGATTGCATTCCAAACCTTAGCGCCTTGATATCTAATATTAAAAATACCTAAATATTCTAAAGGTAAGCCTTGTATTATAATTATGGGTTTCTTTTACTGAAGTGAAGTGGGAAGAAGTTGGTTTTTAAATTTGTACATAAAAACCGCAAAGTGAACAGTTACTTCATCAAATAAATTGATAACATTTAAATCTTTGAAAAGTGGGCTTGTATGCTCTAAGAAGCCAGAGAAAGTTATGATTCTAATGGCTTTCTTTTGCAATACAAGCACGTGCTGTTAACACGCATGCGAATTTCCGTTTGTCGACTGCTTTCCTATCGAAGTTGATTAGCGCTCTAAAAGCAGTATTACTTTGTAATTCACAGGAATAAAGGAGTGGACTCTACGCAATCTTTGCAACACCTCAGACCAAAAAGCTCTGCTCGTGTGAAATTCGTTTCGTGGTCCGCATTTGACGGAGGCCGCATAAGAAACGGTTCCTTCAGAACACCATAACGGCTCTTTTCAGAGCCACCCTGGTTCTTTTCAGAACCACCAGATCTAAAACACTCAATGACCAACAGTTCGTCCTTTTCTCGTCTTTTTAACTGTAAGTCCTGCTAAAAGTGTTATCTTAAGATTTTGTTGCGCAAAAATACTTGGCTATAAGACACACCCTAATCTCAGCACTACCTTACCACCCGAAGACGGAATTTTCTTGAAAAAACCGTGCGCCTTATAACCGAGACACTACGGGGTATAGGGATTTTAACAATTACTGTAGGGGTGAGAATAAATCTCATAGCATCCTAAAGTTGGCATAATAAAACTGCTCAGAATTTGATAACTTCATTGAAAGCAAACATGCTTTATCATCATTTACGTGGTAATTAAACCTTGAACAAGTTAAGAATTCAGAATAACTCATAATTTTGTGACTATTGTAAGGCCTGACCCAACTGGTAAGATATTAACTACTACTCGAGCATCTTTCACTATTTTCTTGTTCAACTCGTGCATGTGGACGGCAATTCTTTTGTATATTGACTGAAAGTGGAACTTATACAGCTCTATGGAATCTCTCTGGTAGTCGAGTGGTTCAACCTCTGATGTTTTGCCATCCTTGTTGATATTTGGATCACACACATAACCTTCCCATAACGTCTGAATGAGGGATAAAACATTTTTAACGAAATCATTTAAACATCTGTAGTTTTTTATCGTTTACAAGAACGGTAATTATCGTTTGTCTTTCGATTCACGGAGTCATTTCCGACGTGAATCGGTACTTTTTAACTCCTCACTGCTTCTTTCCCAGAGATAGGACGACCAGTTGAGCTTAATTTTAAGATACACAATTTTCCGCTGTGATTGGTTAGTTTTCAACAGCTCTGATTGGCACATAGTAATCTTGTAAAATAAATTGGTCTAAATTACACATCAGATAATTCAGAGAACGAATTTTCGCCCACTGCGCTTAAGATTATGACTCACATAAGCAATTTTGGCACTTTAATTACGATAGAGCGTTTTCACAGATCGAGTTTTTCCCCATTAAATTCTCTTTCCGCGAAAGCTCACCTTAGACAAACTCAAGCACGTTTATCAATCGTTACATAGTCTATCCCGGCCGATCACAAAGATTTGCGTTCAAATGTGATTGAAACTTTACTCGTGTAAAAGAAAAAAAAAAAAAAAACAACCTAAGCGAGAGCTGGACATTAAGACGAATAAAGAATATATCAGAGTTCCTTGCTGTAAGGTATGTACCTCTATACCATGCACAGTTAAACCATACTTACATCATCAAGTAAAATAATTCCTCCCTGGCGTACAAGTTCCATGCATTTATCGTAATACACAGGATAGTTCCACTTATCTGCGTCGATGTAAACCATGTCAAAAGTTCCAGTTTCGCCGTTGGCAATTAATTCATCTAAAGAAAAGACAACCAAAAGAAGGAAGAGTCGAGGGAAAAAGGAGAGAAAAAGTAAAAAGGCGGAATAGACCCTTCTATGAAGGAGAGAGTTTGCTCGACGTCTCCTCAGTTTCCGGTCCACCAATTTTGACATTTGTCATGCACATTTTAGGTTTATACACGGAGAACTAGAACAAAAAACCGATCCTAACGTCCTCGGGGTTAAATTCAATTGGATTCAACCACCAAACTTTCTATACACCTGTCTAATACTGACTCGGACATAATAAGCTTCTGAGAACTCGAAGCTAATTGATAAGTACGTTACTAGTGTTCTGCATAGGGAGTTTTTTAAAGGTGGTTAGATATGACCACACCCTAAATGCGTCGCTTCAACTATTGATGTAGTCTGGAACTTACCGAGAGCCCGGGCTGCGTCCTTTATAATAGACCTAATTTTGTGGGTAACTCCAGCCTGTGAAACGGTAATAAAATCTTAGTTCATTGAATCAATCGTGATAATCATGACAAAATCCTCGAAACTTATTTTATTTATTTATTTATTTATTTATAAGCAATATTTAAACAGGCAGGTCCAATTCAGCTAATGCTGGTTTAAATGGAGGCCTGTGTAGAAACCCACCCATTCCACCCCAGGGGAGGACATCCATCACACAGTGATCTCGTGCGTGGGAAATTAACGTCTCCTACCCCTAACCCTGCAGGAGACGGAACCTCCATTTATTCGTCCCTATCCGAGAAGACTAGAATATCTAACCATTTCTTGATGTTATAGAAAGGTAGCATATTCTTCTCAGCTATTTTAAGACCTTGAGTGTTGGTTCGGTCGGGGCTCGAACCCTGGACCTCCCGCACAACAGTCCAGCGGTCTATCCATTGAGCTAACCGGGAGGCGGTCAACTGATTGGCTTGTGACTGTGAATGTGACTAAAATACCTACATTGTCTGCACGATTAGTATTTTTTTGGGGACTCATGTGCTTTGAGAACTATTTCCCTTCGACATTTGCGTTAAAAGTTTTTACTCGAATCTCTCACAAAACTTGCGAACAATAAGTTTCACACGCGATTTTCTCTCTCAAAAAATGTCTTCATTTTGATCCAAAAACGATTAAAATTCATGGCTCAGACAGTTCCAATAAACTTAAGGTGAGAACATAGGTTGAGATTGCTTGTAATTTAAACCTCAAAAACGAATAGAAAATCACCGATCCTTTTGTAAAGTAAAAACAACTACAACAAAAACAAAGAAAAACAAACTAAAAGCACGTCAGATCCTACCTTTTCCCAGATTGGGCGGCCTGTGGACACCCAGTCCTCTTTGAAGTCTATTGTTACCATTTGACCGTCTTCGGGTAAAACAAGTGCAATACTGAGTGAAGTTGTGCCAGCGAACGTTCCTGCGTGTGAAAAAGTAACAGTTCACTTTTTCTAAGCACTGGCCTGACTAATATCAGTCTGTTCTAGCAAACAGAGTGAAATAATCGAACGGTGCAAGAGTATCAGTAGGATGAAAACGAAGCGGTTTGGGACGAGCCAAAGATACCTCGTTTTTTCATTCCTCCACTACTACAGAGCCGTTTATTATTGCATTTTATTTTACAAAATGAACTCCTGGGGAAAAATAGCTCTCCCACATTCCACAAAACGTGATTCCAAAGCTGCCATCAATGGCTGCTTCTACCGGCACGTTTGGAAGAGGGTCTCGATGGGTTTTTGCAACGCTATCCTTCAGCGTAATTATACAACCTCTAGTTCTTTTCAATGCTATGAAGATTGTAGTCTAGATTGTTAGTAACCACATGCATTCCTAGACTGCCTATTTTTATTTCATTCTATCATCGACTCGTGCTTGTCAACACTTATACACAGTGGAAGACAGCCTCTAAGAAATGAAAGATACAAATCATTTCTTATATAAGAATCAATAAAGTTGTTAATTTTTTTCTGTTTTTCTGTAAGGATCTAGAGTGAATTATTTTCTCTACTCCTTTCAAATTGAAAAGTTATTTCAGCTTTAAGGATAATTTACAAGTAAAGTGATAATTTTGGAATTATTTTCATTTAAATCCAACATCAAACATACCCACTTCAAGAACCTTTTTTGCTCCAATCGCTTTAGCCAACTGAGTTATAAAGCTTGTTTGGTCGGCCTCCGTCGTCTTAGGTGAGAATTCCTCCAGCTTCTCGCAAATTACCTTAAATCAAACAAACAATAGGTTTGTAAAATGGCATACCGCTGGACGTGCGGAATGTCGGGAATTATACGGACAGTAACATAAATTACAGACTCCAGTTGTTCAAAGAATGGATAAGAATATCCATTGGGTAAATTTATATCCGCTAGATAGCGCAGTACGTTTTGTTTCGTTTTGAATATTCTCTCGGTCAAGATGATTATTAATTCATTCAAGGAAAAATCGTGAAATCACTAAACTGAAACCTGCGCTGTATAGCGATTTACCTGTTGTCTGCCCTTTGGACAACTAGGTCCAGGTCGTTACGAGTCGTGTCTATGTGAGCTGAGGCAGGCTAAAACTTCTCTTTATGAAGATAATTATTGATTTATTCGAAACAAAATCGTGAAATCACAAAATTGTTATTTAGCTAAAGTTTTCTCCACACGTCATGTGCTAAATAGATTTTTAGTGTCATTTGGTACGGTGGCCCATAGGGGCAAAACACAACTCAGTTTCTTTTCTGATACACAACAATCTTTTCGAGAACACAACAATCTTTGCGAGAACAAAACAATCTTTTCGAGAACACAGCAATCTTTTCGAGAACAAAACAATCTTTTCGAAAACACAACAAAATTTTCCAGAACACTAAAATCTTTTTCAGAACACAACGAAAATTCCTGATACACAACAATCATTTTGAAAATACAATGAAATTTTCTGATAAACAAACGCAAACTAAAACACAACAAAATTAAGTGAAACAGAACAAAATTTCAAAGTACTGGTAACTAACCCTGACGCTAAAAGCGACGGAAACCTGGGACTGGCGAACATAATTTCATATTACTTTACAAGGGGATATACGTATGAAGCTATCACTGAGTTTTTAGCGAAGTTTCATGGCATTACGATGTGTGTACGAACATTGAAAAATAGGTTGAGGCAATTGAACTTAAGGAGAAGATTGCCATCTTTTGATATAGATGTTTTCCGAGAACAAATCAATGTAAAATGGGGTTGACAGACCTACACGACTCCCCAGCGCGTGTTTTGAGTAGCCTGTTCAAAGGTTGGCCCTACTGAGTATGTCTTTGGGCGACCGTCCTCTTGTAAGATACGAGAAACGGTTTTTGTATATTTCGTTCAGTAGTGGTTGTGTTTCTATTAAATGCCAGTGTCTCATGAGAATTTGCTTTTGGTTTGGCACTGATGGTTGGTATTGTGAAACAAAAGGCAAGATTCGTTGGTTCGTCTTTTGTTTCTGTTGAAGAGCTAATTTCCAGTTTTTTAATTCACTTCCGAGAGGGTTGTGCTAATGAGGTCCTCTGGGTAGCCTCTCTTTAGCAAATGCGCTTCATTTGTAATTTTCTCCTCGAATATTGTTTGAGAGGAGTTTTTTCTTAGAAGTCTAAGGGTCTCCCCTTTTATGAAGTCTCTTTCAATTCCTTGTGGGTGACAGGAACTATAGTGTGTAGAGCGAAGGGCCCCTGTGACCAGAGCCAGTCCCAGGTTGCGGTCGCTTTTAGCGTCAGGGTTAGTTACCAGTACTTTGAAATTTTGCTGTGTTTCCGGCTTAATTGTTGTGTTTTCACTTAACTTGTGTTTTAGTTTGCGTTTGTGTATCGGAAAATTTTATTGTATTTTCAAAAATATCGTTGTGTATCAGGAGTTTTCGTTGTGTTCTGAAAAAGATTTTAGTGCTTTGGAAAATTTTGTTGTGTTCTCGAAAAGATTGTTTTGTTCTCGCAAAGATTGTTGTGTTCAGAAGAGATTGTTGTGTTTCAGAAAAGATTGTTGTGTTTCAGAAAAGATTGTTGTGTTTCAGAAAAGATTGTTGTGTTCCAGAAAAGATTGTGAGTTGTGGTTTGCCTCTATGGGCCACCGTAATTTTGGGAGGCATAAAACTGATCGAACTTTCCGCGAAATTCTTCTGCCAAATTAAATGTTGTTTAATTTTTCCAAGGTGCTGCTATGGTGCCTGGGAATGTTCGCTAATTTATTCAAACCCTCGCCGTTGGAGTGCCAGAGAGCCTCGTAGCGCAATCTCCTTTCCTAAGCTCTCCGGATGTCTCCGTGAAAAGAGATGATAATAGCAACAACTACGTATTGTTATTATTATTTTTATTATTATTATTATTATTTTTATTATTATTATTATTATTTATTTTTTTAATCATGGATTAGTAAAGTGCGTTCGATGTAGCCCGTGAATCACAGTTCTGATTTGTAGTAACTCATTTCGTTCGATCAAATGGTGGTAATTTACCAACACATCTCGGCCCATGGCATCCACACCGATATAAGCCATCCCGTGGGACTTCACCTAACCAGTTACACTAAGATGACGCCCAAACCTCCAAATCGCACAGCGATATAAGAATAGTATGCGTTCTCCTATCTTCGACCGCAATCACATGAACGCTGCTTGAGTAACCATCACGATCACAATGCCGGAATGACCGACAGAAGACAAAACACGCCCCTCACTGAACCATAAGAAACATTAACAAAGTTCAATACTAACCCTCCTCAATTCAGTCACTGTGGGATGCTCTGGAGAGGAGTATTTAGCGACATATCCTAGAAAAGTTCTCAATCCTTCCGTCTTCTTGTGCTTTCTCCCAGGCCTTTGAATGTAGTCGTCTGCATATCGGCGCGAACCGTGGAGCTTACCAAGCATATAGCCGATAGCAAGCGAAGAGCACACTGTGGCTCCGATCAGGACTGTGTTACTATTCATGGCTTCTAACTAGTGATCGCTGCTGTGTAAAGAACTTGAAAATAAACACCTTAATTTATGTTGGTGCGAAGTAGGTAATGTGCCCGTATGTGTCACTGACCTTTACTGTATGAAGCAATGGGCATTATAATAAATTAAGTTTAAATATCACGCGGTACATGTACTCCAGGGATCCGGTCAGACAAGTTCTCTCGCATCACGCAAGCGACGAATTGGATTGATAAATCATTTTTCTGACGACGAAGAGTTGGAATGGCTGGGGAATATTGATCCAAGTTTATTAGATAAATCGAACAACGAAAAGCAGTTATACGACATTGAAATTTCATTATTTATTGAAGAAAATAGAACAGCAATACGACAACGCGTCAATTCCGTTCCGCTTCGTATACGTCTGTCACGCACTCCCGTAAATAGATATCCGCGAAATTCGCTCGCACTGAAATAAAAATTTGGCGTGTTGGATAATAAATAACGTATTAGAAGTTTTGGTGTGTGGTATCGCTGAGCACTTTTACTCGTTATTTGTATTTTGACTCGCCCTACGGGTTCGTCAAAGACGGCACAACTCGTTAAAAATACTTAGCGGTACTACACAACAAAATGTTTAATAAGATACATATATGTATATGTATATATATATAGAGAGAGAGAGAGAGAGAGAGGAATTAAACTTGGTGTCCGTGAAACAGTGCTCGATACAAATAGTACAGCGGGTATAATGTGTGGTAGTCGGAAAAACAACTACATATACATCCCTACAGACCTGTTTCGTGGTTGCCCACTCATCAGGGGACTTAAAATTTTTTTCCGACTACCACACATTATATATATATATAAATAGAACAAATGTTTGAAAAGAAAATTTGCCCTGAGAGGGACTTGAGCCCACGTCCCCCCGTTACTAGTCAGGCGTGATTACCACTACACTATCAGAACAACCATGCAGGCATCCCGGCAATCAAAGATGTGATTTACGTGATCGGAGACGTGGTCTCCCGGGAAACTTAATTTTCAAGATGACAGGGTAGGGGAAGCCCATAGCCCCATATGAAACCCAACTAAGGATCTATTAAAGATACACGACCGAAGTCAACTTAGCTCAGGGCAAATTTTCTTTTCAAACATTTATTCTATTGAAGTATGATTATTTGGGGTGTACAGGGTCAGGGTTTCTCTCGTATACATTATTTGTTTAATTTAAATTAGCCTGTATCCGTAATTGGATCCTCCTTTGTCATCCGCTAAGTTGACTTTGGTCGTGTATCTTTGCGATATATATATTATTTGACATATTTCTGAGTCACACAATCAGATAATTTATGCAAATGTATTGTGGCTAAAGATGTGGAACGGGAGAGAGCTGGGTTGGATGGAAACAGGAAAAAAAAAACACATCCACACAAACAGACAGACAAATTTACGAGGAAGTTTTGTAAATAGTCGATAAGGTACTTTTTACAAATATGAGTGTCGACAGCGCCAGGATCAAATGGATTTTGCTTACAGCTGTTTCATGTCTCTTGTCTGAAACGTTCCAAGAACCCGCGAACAAAGGAAACCTAAATCAGCGGTTATAACCATGAGCAATGTAACCGCGCGAGCCACGTCGAATACTTTGACTAAATGAAGACTTTCTCGAGAGAATCTTTTAACTTTTGACTTGAAGAATAATCGCTAATAGTAAATTTTTAGAAAGATGTCTTTCACAACTCTAGATACTACGAATTTCCCCCTGTATGCTGTGAACGTCCTAGACAATGATCATTTTGTAATCGCCGGTGGTGGAGGCGCGGCGAAGACCGGTGTCCCGAATGCATTGGTTTGTATTTTTGCTCTTCACTTATTTACACTGATTTTTCCAAAACTTTTTTTAATTTCATGTCGTATTGCTGTAACTGTAGTATAAAGTATATAGTATTTTTTTCTGCGTTTAATGTTGATTTCACGATTCTTAGAAACTGTACATTTTATTCGATAAATTAATTGGCCTCTTTGCTCCTCGACTTGTTGTTCAAATTTCTTGTGATGCTCTGAGATCGAGTGCCAAATTTAAATCAAAGGGCAAGATTTACGCACAGCCCCATAACTCATTCTGCATACAGTTCTTGGATGAGAAAACAAAGGAGATTGCATTTGGGACCACAGCTTTGCTTTAGAGTGGTGTGGAGGTATACTGAAAATCTCTCCAATCAAAGATTTAACTACACGGTTTACTGGTGTGAGGTCTTATTAATTTTGTGGTGAACAAGTATAACGTGGGATGGTATTAGATGATTGCTATAAAGGGACAGTTGTATCTTTTATATAAGTACAAATGTATGTGTCAAAAGTTCTGAAATAAAATATTCTAAAGTTATAATCGAGTTTGCAATTAACAAGGCAAACTAACCCCAGCTGTCCAGTTACAAGCTAAGTATTGTACTTGAATGAAGGAGTTCTGGGCTCTGTAACAAACAGAACGAATTAAGGTGTTTTCATCCAGAAGTCTTTTCGTCCAAGTCTTGCGTCCAAAATTCTTTTCGTCCAAAAGTATTTTCACCTTAGAAGTCTGTTTGTTTACTTGTTAAGTCCTTTCTCGGAGCAAACAATTAACTTTTAAAAGGCTATATATAAGGCTATATATAAAGAACCTATTGTGAGCTGCTGCCATTTTGGTTCCGATAGCTTTAGTCACCAATCCTTCCTCATTTGCTCTAACGAAGGGTTACTATGTTGTTGGGTATGTTGGATACGTAGTGATGTTACACTTCGTTGCCTTTTACACTGGATAGAAGCTTAACAACAACCCTAATATTCCCATTTCTTTCACATTAAATAATTAAGCGTCAAGCAAGTCTTTATTTTTGCCACTATTTAATAAAGTATATTGTGATACAACTTCATTCATTCTCTGTGTATTTATTGTTAAATTCATGACATTGAATTTGTAAATGAAGATTGGTGAACCAAAAGGGCAACGGCTCACACTGATAAGTTCTTTATATAGCCTTATCTATAATATAATATAGTTATTTATTTGCTTCGTGGAAAGACTTAACAATTAGACGTACAGACTTAAGATGAAAAGACTTTCGGATGAAAAGATGTGGACAAAAAGACTCTTGGACGAAAAGACCAAGTGTGTGCATTATATTATTATTTCATTTAACTGATTTTAAGTTAGATCAGATTAGGCAAAGACAGAATTTTTATTCCTACAATGTAGTGCTTTCTCCCTTTTTGTTTTCTTAGAATATTTACAAGCTAGGTCGAAATGGTAAAGAGCTCAAAGCTACTCTAGTCCATAACTTTGAAGCTGGAAGGAGGCCAATTATGAACTGTGCAATTCATCCAACATCAAATGTCCTCGCTGTTGGAATGGACAACAAATGTCAGTTACTTGAGATTGATGTTAAGGAGGAAGTAAAGAACACTGAAAAAGTGAAAGGAAAAAGCAAAGTTATTGTTAAAGAAAAGACACGAGAATTTATTGTGAAAGAGTTAGAATCTAAAGTGACAGTTTCAGCAGAGGACTATGACTCAAAAGATGACGATGATGTTGGTTTTCAGAAAGTTGTACGATTGACTGCAGATGGACAGCACATTGTTACTGGAGGTTCTGATGGCCATGTTAGGGTTCTAAAGGTAAAAGAGAACTTCTAACTGATATTACAAGCTCATATTTATTCCTAACAGTTGTACAATCCTCCAGCATGTACTTTAAATTTTTTTCAGCTTCAGAGTTTTCATTTGGTGTCAGTGCATGATAGTTTGTGTTGAAACACAAGTAATAGTTGAAACTATCATCAACTATCATGATGGTTTGAACAGGGCTTAAGGAGAAAATTGATACTAGTCACCCATAGAGATCACAGTGTTAAGGTGGCTGAACACAATTTTTGATACTTGTGTTTCTTTCACCATTTCCTCTAAAACCCTTGATCTCGCAGTCGCCAAAATTGGCAGCAAGCAAGTTAACAACACAAACTTTGTTTTTTTTTTCTTATAGTTAAGCTGATGTATGTGCCATTGCCATGGTGACATGAATATATATAAACATGCCTTAAAATCGGTTTTGTTTATTTGTAGAAAATCTAGTCATTAGATTTTCTTTATAATTTGCATGCAACGAGCTTGTAACGATACTCACAAGTTAACACCATTTTGCTAACAATTTAATAGAGATCTTTAATTATCTCTTACTGATTCAGAAGGTTCATTTGATTATCTAGAATTTCCTTTGTTAAAAATCAAATTTTTTCAATACTCTAGTTACTTATTTCCTAATGTGTTTTCGTGCCAAATTTCGTGAAATTCTAATGGGTGGTTCTCAAGAAATAGGCATATTTCCAAGAAAGCAATTTTCCATCCAGTAGCAATTTTTTTACTTACTATGCATGCGCTGCATTTAACGAGGTTCTATTGGTAACAACGAAAAAGCTGAGAATTGCTGGGTTCTTTGCACCATCAACTTTTCTAACATGTCTTTGCAATAAAAGATTAAAGCCCTCAACACCCTGCACCAGCGTATATAGAAAAATAGCACAGATAGTGCGGATACGTGTTGAGTAAATGAAATGACCGCTCTATTGACGACATGTTTGTTTTTTTGCAATCCATATGTGCGCACTGAATTGCATCAGCAAAAGCATGGGCCAAAACTGTGTTCGGCCACCTTTAGGAAACTCTGATAATTATGTATGTGCTGTATCTATATATAAACTGATAAATAGAAAGCTGAATATCTTTTTTTTGTAAGTTATTTGTTTTTTATTATTTTATTTTATCTTTTTTTCCCCATTTTTCTCCAGTATCCTTCCTTGGAAAGTATCCATGACATAAAAGCTCACACAACAGATGTTGATGACTTAGATGTACATCCTAATTCACGTCAGGTATGAGCTTGCACTATTATGGAAGCCGAAAAGGGACAATCCAAAAATATTTTTCAAATCCTGAAAAATATTTCAAATTGCAATATTTATTTTAAACTCACTGTCGAAAAGTTTGACAAATCCAAAGATGTTTTGCAAATCCAACAAAATATTTAGAAATCCAAAAAAATTTTTTCAAAATCCGAAAATATTCTGCGAATCCAAAAAATATTTTGGAATCCGAAAAAATTTTTTCAAAATCCGAAAATATTTTGCAAATCCAAAAATATATTTTGAAATCCAAAAAAATTTTGTGTTAAATGGGAACACTAAGAACTATAGTACAATCGAATCAGCGCGCGTGGCGCAAGCTGAAAGCAATCAAGACAACTTAACAATCGAGACAGTGAAAAAAATAGCTGTACATCTACAAAGGCGAACGATTCAAAAAAGACGCAATCCCTGATGTGCGTACTCATTTTAAACAAACTGAGACATTTCTGTATACACACTATAGTTCCTGTCACCCACAAGGAATTAAAAGAGACTTCATAAAAGGGGAGACCCTTAGACTTCTAAGAACAAACTCCTCTCAAACAATATTTGAGGAGAAAATTACAAATGAAGCACATTTGCTAAAGAGAGGCTACCGAGAGGACCTCATTAGTACAACGCTCTCAGAAGTGAATTAAAAAACAAGAAATTAGCTCTTCAACAGAAACAAAAGACGAACCAACAAATCTTACCTTTTGTGTTACACAATACCAACCATCAGTGCCAAACCTAAAGCAAATTCTCATGAGACACTGGTATTTAACAGAAACACAACCACTACTCAACGAAATATACAAAAATCCGTTTCTCGTATCTTACAAAGGAGGACGGTCGCCCAAAGACATACTCAATGGGGCCAAACTTTGAATAGGCTACTCTAAACACGCGCTGGGGAGTCGTGTAGGCCTGTCAACCCCATTTTACAACAATTTCTCGTCTAACTATTTCCCGAACAGTGTGTTCTGAATGAAGGTGGTTTCTTTGTAACCCATAGTGACGTAGCCTTCTCTTCAGAGTCCTCACGTTCATTGAAATCCCATGGTATTCTGCCAGAAAGTGAACAATGGTCTCGTAATGAAATCCCTTATTAAAGTAATGTTCTGTAGCCAATCTTTCGTCTCCCAAGCTGGACAACACACTTTCCTCTTCACGCCATTGTAGTGTTCCACAACGATGGCAGAATGTTTCATTGTTCCCACATTCTCTTCCACATTTATGACAGAACATGTTCTATCCTCGTTCCCTCGCCATTTTGTATGGGGGATGATGCGGGATATGGCAAGAAAATGCTGGGTGACTGCTGGTACAAATAGCCCGTGCAAAATATTTTTTTGGATTTGCAAAATATTTTCGGATTTTGAAAAAATTATTTTGGATTTCAAAATATTTTTTCGGATTCACACAATATTTTCGGATTTTGAAAAAATTTTTTTGGATTTCTAAATATTTTTTTTGGTTTGCAAAATATCTTTGGATTTGTCAAACTTTTTGACAGTGAGTTTAAAATAAATATTGCGATTTGAAATATTTTTCGGGATTTGAAAAATCTTTTTGGATTGTCCCTTTTCGGCTTCCGTACACTATAGACCATAATCTTTGTGATTGCCAACACGTTTCATTTACCATGCAGGGATAACTCACCCAGTCAAACTTTTAACAATAAAACAAATAAAACTTTGAACAATAAAACAAATAATACACACTATTAATACACACTTGACATGGTATTTAAAAAAAAAAATTAGTGTTTCAGGGTTTCCAAACACGAGAAAACAGATGAAAGCACTATGGTGGAAGTCCAGTGCATTTACTGTTTTCAAGCGTTTGAAAACCCTGATAAAACATGCTGCATTAGTTTTTTTAACCCATTAATGGCCGCAGCTTTTGTGGAAAACTGTGTTTTGAAGCTAGTCGAGCAGATTTCGGGTCACTGTTGTGGTTTTAAAAGCTCAAACTTACCAAAAACCCCTTGACAGCTCGTGCACTCGACGGCCTTTCGATCCAAATGCAAAATGGCGGCCTGAAAATCTCGGGCACGCGCAGAGAGCAAAATTTCGACATAGTTTTTGGGTTGAAAAGTCATGCCCCACTTACGACTTCTACTTTTCTCTCTTTCTCCTGCCCTTTTTTTCCCCTCTCCTTGCCTGAAGTTTCTCCTCACTTGCTGGAAATTGAGTAGGCTTCATTTTGGTGTAGAGATTTTTCAGAAACTACTCATTATTTTCAAAGCACATGCTCGGAAAGGTAGGTGGGTAGTGAAACACGATTTTCGTGCAGATTTTCAGGTCAAAGTGACACGGTTTTTTGGCTATTTCTCCAATCTCCTTCACTCAATTGCGCTCATTCTGGTATCGTCTGTAAGATATTTTCAACCTGTTCAAGTAGGTGCTCAAATTCGTGCTCCAGGGTTAAAAGTGATGACGTCACAAGGCGTAGAAAGGGTGTGGGTCCCCATGGGCGCATACGGGCGCACTGGACATCAGTGAGTTAAAATAGCTTCTCAAGAACACCTCAGGAGATAAAAAAATGGAAATATTCAAACATAAACTCAAACATGTGCCATTGATATTCTAACCAAGGAATGAGTTCCCTCTGTCTTTTTTTTTTTTATTATTATCATTTACAGTTTGTAACATGCTCAAGAGACACAACAGCTTATGTTTGGAGGCTGGAAGAAGGCAAAAAACAATTCCAGTTGTACTTTTCTGTTAATAATGAAGATAACTTCTTTAGAATCAGGGCATGCAGGTAAGAATCTTTTAAGAAACATTCAATTTTCCTTTCGAAATTGTGTCATGATAGTTAGCCTTTCTTTTTAAGAAGTTAAATTGGAAAATAGAGAACAAGCATATGAGAGTTTCTAGAGTCATGAGAATTGGTAGATGTGCTAAATCATGTTGCTTTTATGTTTTTTTGGCAGGTTTTCCAGCAATGAGAGAAAGGAAGTGAGTCTGTTTACCATAAATGTACCATCAAAATTCGATAGAAAGGCTCCAACACCTTCATACTTAGTCAAGTGGGATTGCACAAAATGGCTGCCACAACTGAGTCAGGCTGCTGGGATTGAACCTCTCACACAAATGGCCATCAGGTACAGTGGCCAAAGTTCACAACTTTCCCCTGCAATACATCAATCAATTAATCAATAAACTTTATTTACCCTTGAATTTACAGTGTAGCACTCGGGTGCTAATATCTTCGAGCCAACCAAAGTTATTGTTAGTAATAAATAATTATAATAAAAAGTTAATTCTATAACAAATAGGCTAATTAGCTGCCTAGACAATTAATTAGCCAATTATCTTGATGCAGAAAGGTTTGCAGTTCCTGCCCTTTTAAGTAAATTATTGTTCCCAATAGATATCAGTCATCGAAAAGAAGTAAAATCAGAAATATTGTGGTGATGGTCAGGAAGAGAGTTCCAAGATATTGCTGCCAAGTAACTAAAGGAATTGGTCAATGGTCAATAAGATTGGTCAATTGGTCAATAAGAAGTGATCAATGGTTTAGGCAAACAGAGTATATTATGTCCTCTTAAGAAATAGGTGCTAGAGAGCAAGCGAAACATATCTTTTAAATAGCTTGGATAATCAGACATTTAAAAATAGTAAGAATTATGTTTTGTAAACGCTTGTCCTTAAGGTTTACAGTTCCTGCTCTTTTAAGTAAATAATTTTAGTACACAACTCGGGCAGTCGGAGGGCCAATAACTAAAATCAACCAATCAAAATGCTCTATTGCTGGTCCAATATTCTCTAAGTATTGGACCGGGCATTGTCCCGAAGGGTCCCGAATGATACTACACTTGTGTCCCTTTGAACTTCAGTCATATAATAAATCTCTTATTAACCAAGCTTGCTTGGGACCGTACTGGAAGAATATCGGCCCTCTGTCTTTTTTGTACGGACCTCACTGCGCTCGGTCCGTACTGTCAAGACCTCAGGCCAATATTCTCCCAGTATGGCCCTCACGCTTGGTTAATAAGATATATGTTTCACATACCCATGTATCACATACCTATGGTCATAGTCATCATTCACATAAATTATACAGGTTCCAAGATGAAACAATTTCTTATTGTTTTAATGATTTGATTATATTCTTTTTCTCTACAGCCCTTGACCACTCTTAAGGGTGTCCACAACATATTTGTCACAGGATTAACATTCCTTCCCAACTCTCCACTTGTCAATGATCAACTGCAGAATGAGTTTGCATTGCTCAGTATATCTGCTGACAATGCTTGTAAGGTTACTACACTCAAAAGAAGAGGTATGGATAAATTGTATTTTTTATTACAATCTAATGGGCTGATTCTCTGAACATAGAAGTAGAATTAAACATAACAATGAGACATACTAATACCATAATGCCTTCAGGATGGCTTGCAAAAGAACGGAGGACCCCATACTGAGATGGACCACCTAATGAAAAATAATGATAATAAAAAAGATAACCAAAAAAATCCAGCTATTTCCCTAAACACTAGTCCTAACTCTAGCACATCAGCCTGGTCAATTGGTGGTGGTTGAGAAATTCAAGAAATTTTTCACAAGGTTTTGTAACTTTTCAAGCCAAAGAGGAAATAAAAATATATTATAAAAACAATGACTATTTGGGAAAGGCTACCAGAAAAAGAGTTTATCTGCATCCAAAAAACAAAAGACAAAATTAATGTATCAATTAAGTTACTTTAAGCAGATCAGTAGTTATATCCCTTAAAACAAGGTACAATATCATAGGGAAAAACTGAACAAAGCAACCACATGTTGAGAAAAACATAAATTCCCACCAAAAGCATGGCTCCATCTTCTGCATAAAAACACACACACAATCCACCTCCTCCATTTGCTCTGACGAAGGATAATGTGCTGAGGCGTGAGTAGTCCAGTGGTCAGTGCGCTGGACTCTGGGTTGGTTGGCCGAGGTTCAAGTCCTGGCTGGGGCATGATGTTGTGTCCTTAAGCAAGCCGCTTCACTCACATTGCTTCGTCTTCTCTGATAAGACGTAAAGCCATGGGTCTCCTCTCCTGCAGGGTTAGGTGCAGGAGACGTAAATTTCCCATGCATGAGATCACTGTGTAGTGGATGTCCTCCCCGGGGTGGGATTGGTGGGAAGGTGAGATCGCTACATGGACTGAAGCGGCTGCCAGAGGTGCCTGATAAAAATGCTGATGTCCGATCTCAATCTTACGATACTGTTAAGCACGACTGAATATATCCACATAGAAGTCTGCACTATATAAATGTAAAAATGTATGCTCAAAATGTCAGCTTTTAAGCCGTTTGCAGTGGCCAACTGCCAACTCAGTTGATAAAACCAAATTACCTTGTTACCCACACTGATACAGCACCACAGTTTCTTTAGAAACTTACCCCCTTTGCCAAAAACATAACAATTTGATCTTTATTCCTTTTTCAGGTGAATACAGCTATTGGTGGATTCTTGTAGGATTTATAGTGTTACTTTACTTAACTCTTGTGATTCTAGCTTATGCAGGTATTGATTTATAATGAAGTTTTTGTAATTTATTTGATATAGTAGAATATTGCAGAAAATAATATGATTTGGTATATTCTATAAGTGGAAAAGGATTTTGAAACTCATGAAAAGTAGTTAATTTAACTTTAATTTCCACAATAAGTTGTAGATATTTATTATGATAATAATTTCAATTGTTGTTATTGACAGTTTGGCTTGTAGTTTGGGTGCCCTGTCATCCGGCCTTGAATGCATGAAATGATCTTCTGCATCTATAGAGAGCCATTCTACATGTATTCATGCAACTAAGAGTATATGTGTGCATGCAAACTATTTTGGGTATGATACACGCATGCTACATGCACTTATAGTCTAAGTACTGTAGCCATAGTCTAAAGATCAAAGGATCAATTTTTTTTTAAATGCCTTGCTAATAAGGTGCACTCAGCTGTTAATGCTCTTCCATATTATTGCAAATCCAATGCAACAGGAGATTGGATGTTGCCAGGTTGTTACCTGACACAATTTGCCAAAGACAATAATCAAATTTACCACAAAAAGTAACCTTCGGTAAGATTCTAAAACCAACATGATTTAACCAACCCAAATGAAAACCTGGTATCTGGCTGTTCCTATACTAAATGGCTTGAGCATAACCAGGGTTATTTAGGTGTATGTGTTTTAAAGTGTGATCTTTCTGCAGTGAGTTGAGTCTGCAAAAGAAAAAATTGTTGTAACCATGCCATAAGTACAACCAATTTCTTAGGCAAAATGTACTGAAGTTGGAATAACTTAGGTTGGAGTGTGATCACATGCAGGTAGGCTAAACACCAAGAGCACTTATTGAAATTAGTATTTAATTATAATAGTCTTGACATCAAACTTTCAATCAATCAATTTTAATTTATGCAGTTCATACGAGACGAAAATATTTTGAAGATCATACATATCCTATGTAGAACTTTACTTTAGGAGGTTGAATGTATTATATTTACTTTGGTGTATACTATAAAGCTCTTCTCCATGGCAAAAGGAAAGGAAAATGCTAAACTAGTATTTAATTTAAATTATCCATGTTTAAATTATTGTCTTTTCACCATTAATTTTTATCTTCCGAGTCATACTCTTAAGGTACATATACTCTAACGATTCATGATGGTTGTTTTATAGTGTAACTTTTCAAATTTATAAAATGTTTTATTACCATATCGGTCTCAAGGAACAATAAAATTGTTTTCGCGTGGTGCACGTTGTTAGAGAGCGCATTTGGATTGAATCTCGCACAACCCAGAGCAACGTTCTCACAACGGCCAATCAGAGCTTCAGAAAATTTTCAAAGGAGCCAATGAGAGCTCGATGTAAAAAAGAGCGGGAAAACGCGAGTGACCAAGGTGAGGTTGGTTTGGTTTTGAATCTGATTGGGTGACAGGGTGGCGCTAGTTTCGATCCTGAATTACTTTCGATGCTCGAGTAAAAGCTCTTCTTTTGTATGAGATTATGAGAGCCGTAGCCGGTGTGAGACCTTTCAAATGTAAGCTACGGTGTTAAATTCATTTCTTTACATTTGAAATGACATGAAACACTTCCGTTTGGTATTGTAGGGATAAAGTAATATTTTTTCACCTTATAACATAGCCGGAAATTTCCAAGAACACATTTTATAACTTTATGGAACTTAAATCAAGTTAAAGGTTAGTTTATGGAATAGGTATAGTAACGTGGAATGTAACCTTTTTAGCGTCCAAGAATACCTCTCGTCCGTGAGAAGAGAAAAACAAGGCGAATGTAATGAGATATCTCTCAATGTGTGAAGTAGGATAACAGCCGTCAAATGTAGGGGCGATAACAATAAATCTTCATGCAGCTTGGCATTTCATGCTCTGGATGCAATGGAACATTAACATGAGAGAATTTTTGGCTGGCCGAAAAAAAGCAATCAAATCGCTCATACAAATGTACAGAACTTTGGCTTTGAGGCGGAATGCCTGCTTATTCAAGCGTTGGCAAATGTGCAATTGTATTAGTCAAACAAGCACGTATTGTCCATACCAACCAGGACCTCACAAGGGACGTGTTTTTTTTTGTTTTTTTGTTTTTTTCAAGAAATTTTTGCTTAGTTTAACTTTTGTTTTCCTTTGTCTGAACTCGGCCGTTACTGTAATCTGAGGCAACATAAAACAAAAGTTAAATTCTTTTAAATTCCAGAAAAATTTGAATAATCTCAGTACAAGGACGCTGGTTTGCTATCTTTTCAGCGTTGCCAAAACCTTTGAACTCTTTTTTCATTGTGGTTTTCTGCGTTTGATTTCATATTTCTTCCCTTCTTTGTTCTTAAAAAGATGTCTACTTATCTGTAACCAATCTTAAAGAGGCCTGCAGGCTATAAAGAAATGAAATACTCAAAATTTCCCTGGTTCGTGATACGATAACCGTACCCTTATGACAACCTTTTTGTGAATCTCTTGTCGACAGATGTGCAAGTATTGTACAGACATGTTCAAATTTATTTTTACCCCCCCAGTATAGAAAGGTAAATTCAGTTTTAATTAAGTAACTACATAAGTTTATTTCAATTGTCGCTGATATTGAGATTTGCCAACGTTCCCGTTTGGTTATCCTGTTCCATTTCCTTGTTTTAAAACACTTTAGATAACAGATCACCAATTTCCAATTCTGGAGAAATGGGTGCCATATACTACATTGTAGCCAGCGATTTTTCCGAAAATTTTCGACTTTGTTTCCTTCAAGCCTGAGACGTCGATGAAACTTAATTTCTGGAGCATCTACGCGAGTTTGCACTAATGACTTTTCTCCACAGTTCAACTATTTAAAGTTCATTTAAAGTTTTCAAGTCTCGAGATTCTTCCGCTTAAAAGAAGCTAAGTTGTTCGATAAGTCTCTAATTCATAATTTTTTTCTCATTTTTGTTAAAAGGATTTGATTTTTCGACAAATTGAAAAGGCCTTTCAGTTGATCTCTACCATGTTTCTCAGTGACTTCGAAACTTTTAATTAACAGACCATGATTTCTAACACAAGATAACAGTCAATATATTGACTCGCTAGTAAACTTGTCCACGAGGAGAAAAAAGTCATTTGAAAAACTCTGTCATTTTTCATGCCGACATCAACTTTTAATTTATTTCTTGAATGTTTTTCAGGTCTTTTCTGACTTGTCCCGAATGAGGTCGTTCACATACTACGAACACAGTACGAAGTACGTCAAATAGTTGCGGCTACGATAACTACTTACTAAAACACCAACTTTTTGCGTATTCTTGCTACTATTTACGTCTAGAATAAGTTATATATTCTTTTGGTTTATGAATTTCAGAGCCGCGATATCTAATTTTAGCATCTACAAGATCTAGTGGGAAGATCCCCTCCTCGGTTGAGGCCACAGTTTTGCGGTTGTTCAATCACAGATGTTATTGGGAAAAGTCCAGATGCAATCAGACCACGAGAAAACAAATGTTTCGTTGATGACGAAAATTGTGATCTTTTTTGTAACGCAGGAAAAACTTTGCATCAGGTCTAAACCAACAGCGTTGCCTAAAATAGAAGTCACCAAATAAACAGTGGTATTGATTGTTAAGCCTCGTTGCCTGAATAACTCTCCTCCCCTCCCCGACCCTAAAACAACAAAAAAAGGGAGAAAAAGAATAAAGAAATTTTAATAAAGGCGAAAGTTTACCGCATTGAAAAGATAATTAAAACTGGAGTAATAATTAAGGAACCCAAATTTTCAATTATTTCCTTTTTTTTTTTTTTTTTTCATTTCTATTGGCGCGCCACCTTTCCATCATAGTATCGTGCTGGACAGGATATTCTGAGCTTTCGCTCTATGAAAACTGAACCACCAAAAGTATTTGTAAAAATATTTATATATATATATCATTGGTCGGAAATGTATCAATACAAAAGTGACCAATAATAATTTTAAACAACGGAATCGAGTGAAATAAGGGAAAATGACTTCTTTCCTGAAGAAAACCAAACAATTCATTTCGATAACTGCTAGAAACAGAAAAATATGGACAACGTCGCTTTCCGGGTTGTAAGGAAAAAGACGAAAGCTAGCATCAAAATTGCAAATATACCATATCAGAACTTACTGTGCATATCGTTCTTCTTGTTGCAAACGCTAAACTATAATTACACCGATTAAAATATTTCTCTTATTACACAGTGGGCGTTCTTTGGTTAACTTTCTGAAAGAAATATTATAAAGGCAAATAAAACACGAAGTTCACAAGTAAAATTGGGGTCGAATTCCTTACTGGAATGATCATGATGACTTAATCTCGCGTCTCAGGCTCACACAAAGCGCCAATACTTAACTTCAATAATCCTTGGTTATTGTTTAATGTTATTTCTTTGAGCGACAGAAATCGGTCCAATTCTCAATTTTTCTATCTTCCCTGTGTTCATAACAGAAGTTAAATTGTTTACATATCCGTATGTAAAACATCACGTTCAAACAAAAGTTGTAAATATTGTATAAAATAAACCATCACAAGGGAAGTTTTAGAATTTTGCTTGCGTTCTTCGTCATTCTCAGACTTCTTTAGACTTCGATTGATCACTTTAGGAGTTGTAGAAAACTGTTAAACAAAAAAATCAGACTATAAATAAGCCACGAATCGAGTTTAGACTATCTATAGACAGGCAGTTTGCCCTTAAACCTATTGCCCTTCTTAAAAAAGAAAAGAGAGAGAGAGTAGAACTAAAATGCTGAAATTGAAATTGTATTGAATTTTTCCTGAATCAGTACACATCAATGGTCTCTACAAGGAACAGAAAAGATCTTTCCAAATAAGAATAAAAAAGAATGGGTTCTCTTATCGATTGCGATAGCCTTTTTCAGTCCACCATCACATCCAAAACCACTGAAAATCTTTGCCCACCTGGCGAAATCTCCCACAGAAAGTGTGGTAAAACTAGGGGTACTCATCACACTTAAAGGCATCACGTATTTTTGTTATTAGCGAATCCGTACTTAAGTAGAATTAAAGAAATAAGTGTATTTGTTCTAGGTTTGGATTTTGAGGGAAAACACATAGTTTGTTTTTGTCAGCTCCGTTATCAAGCGGCGGTGTATCGTTGTGGTTTTATTGCCAGCGTAAGAAACTCTGTTACGCACATGTCATATTGCGTGAAATGAAATTCGCTCAAGACATCATCAATTATTAACGCAGTCAAAACGAAGATATAAGGACACAGAGGTGAATCGTTGCCCGCTTTAAAGTTCTGGCACTTTGACCTTCAAAAAAGCGCCAAAACCTTACTTGCTTTATCATACTTGTTTAAACTTCTTTGGTGAAATTGTTCGGGAGAGTTGACTACTAATTTACAAAGAATTTCGTCGTTTTCAAGCAACATGAAGACTGGAGCATCAGCGCTCATTTTTTGCATCTTGAGTCTGACCAGAGTGTTTGCCGAAGACCAAACGACTCAACTGAAGAAAACCGTCGCGAAAAGAGACGAAGTCTATTACAACAATGTTGGATCGGTGAAAAATTCCTACAGTATTGAGGGAGAGGACAGGACTTCCAGGTCGGCTGAAAATGAAGAACATCAAAACAACAATGCTGAGAACAAGGGCGAATACTTATACTACGGTTCAGTTTACCCGAGGGACTTTGAAGGAAGAGAATACGAATTGAACTATCCTAGTTATGAAGAATGGTATGGCCCCTATGAGCCGCCTGAGGAATACTATCAGAACGGAGAGGAAGATTACAAACGTTCACTTTACTCTTTCGGCCCTCGTGGGGGTAGGAATGCGTACTACGGTCCCCGAGGGGGTAGAAGTGCATACTATGGTCCACGAGGAGGGAGAAGTGTCTACTACGGACCCCGAGGAGGAAGATCTTTGGAAAAAGAAGCTGGGCCTCGTGGAGGGAGATCGGTTGAGAACGACGATGGACCCCGCGGGGGTAGATCCGTAGAGAACGACAGCGGACCTCGTGGAGGTAGATCAGTGGAAAATGACGTTGGGCCCCGTGGAGGAAGATCTGTGGAAAGTAACTTTGGACCCCGTGGGGGTAGATCAGTAGAAGACAACATTGGACTCTCAGGGAGAAGGAGTGTAGAAGATTCCTCTTCTTCCTCAAATACAAATATTGGGCCCCGGGGAGGAAGGAGTACAGATGCCAGCGGACCAAGGGGTGGAAGAAGTGTCGAAAAATCAAATCAGAATTCAGATGCATCGTCCACTGCAAAAACCGGACCTCGAGGAGGTAGAGACACCGAGTCAGGACCACGAGGTGGACGAGCAGTTTCGGACACAAAAGGCAAAGCAGATGAGGCTAACGGACCCCGCGGAGGAAGAGATGCCCAGTCTGAAGCCAATGGCCCAAGGGGTGGTAGAGATGTGGGAGAGAAAGGCCCCAGGGAGGAAAGAGTCAGGTCAGTTGAAAATGATAGCCTGAGGGGAGGTAAATCAGTAGAATCTGGCCCACGGGGTGGCAGAGCCGTTGAAAGTGGCCCCAGAGGAGGGAGAGCTATTGAATATGGTCCCCGGGGGGGACGATCTGTATTTTATGGCCCTCGGGGAGGTAGAGAAATAGAATATGGGCCAAGGGGTGGGAGATCAGTTGATTATGGACCAAGAGGTGGTAGGGCGATCGATTACGGACCCAGGGGTGGAAGAGCTATTAAATATGGACCTCGAGGTGGTAGAGCGATAGACTACGGTCCAAGGGGTGGAAGAGCAGTCGGTTATGGACCCAGGGGCGGTAGAGCAATCGATTATGGACCAAGAGGTGGTAGAGCTATTGAATATGGACCTCGGGGTGGTAGAGAAATCTTCTACGGACCCAGAGGAGGAAGGGATCAAGATTATGGACCTCGTGGCGGAAGAGAAATTTCTTACGGACCTAGAGGTGGACGAGCCATAGATTTTGGTCCCCGGGGAGGTAGGGCTGTGGAATATGGGCCCAGGGGAGGAAGGGCTGTAGAATATGGTCCCCGTGGTGGTCGTTGGATAGATTTTGGTCCACGTGGAGGTCGTTCACTTTTATACGATGTCGTTTTTGGTCCAAGAGGGGGTAGATCCTTAGCGTTCGGACCTCGGGGTGGTAGATCTGTAGAATTCGAGGGTCCACGTGGCGGAAGAGACATCGACTTTGAAAATGGTCCCCGTGGAGGTAGAGACCTGGAGTATGTAGACGTCTATGGGCCTAGAGGTGGAAGAGCCGTCGGAGGAATGGACTTCGGCCCCAGGGGAGGTCGTGACCTAGAATATTCAGAAGAGGAAGGATTCTATGAATTTGGTCCACGAGGTGGACGGGCCGTTTATTTTGAGGCGGAGCCACGAGGGGTTAGGGGTGTGGAATTCCAGACAGGACCCCGTGGAGGGCGAGAAGTGGAATATGGGCCCAGAGGTGGACGGTACATTTACAGTGGGCCACGTGGCGGAAGGGACATCTCTGGACCTCGTGGAGGACGTAGTGCCACTACAGCAGAGAGTTCGAACGGTCCACGGGGAGGACGAGACCTTGAAAATGGGCCTCGCGGAGGTAGAAGTGCGGTGGCCGGCCCCCGCGGTGGAAGAGCCATCTTATCAGAAGGATCCATGTGGGCCGCTAGTTCTGGGCCACGGGGAGGAAGAAGCCTTGACAAAAACACTGCTGACGCATCTGGACCTCGTGGAGGGCGTAGCACTGCTGAGAGCAGCAAAACTGTAAAGCGAGAGACAACTGCTGCAGCGGGAAAAGAGCAAACAGCCGTTAAAGAGAGGCAGGAAAGGGACTCTAAGGAAGTAGACGTTGACATAGAGAAGGTCGATAAGAAGCTAACAAATTCGAGTTGAGTGCAGAGCAAGAGCTGATGGTTTTGTTCCGAAATAAGGTAAATGTCACTAAAACGAATTGAGCATGAGCCTATACCCATCCATAGCAACCTCATTCCCACGCCGCTTTTCCCTTCAAAAAGGGTACGGGCGGGAAAAAGGCCGGAATTGGGCGGTCACATGCGCATCCGACACCTGAAAAACTCCCGTTGTAATAAATTATGTTGTAACGTGGCCTTCCTTTCTTTGATGCAAAGCGCCCGGGGAACGAGATTGCATTCATAGCCCAAAGGAGAAAATTATGGATCTCTGATACTCTCAGAAAAATTGATAGAAAATAAGGGGAAATTCTGTGAAAATTGTTTAACTGCTGGGCATATAACCGAGGGTTAGTTTTTTTGCTAATCAATTCTTATATGACCATTTCTTTTTTTTTTTTTTTTTCTTTTAATGCAAATAGGTGTACACCAGAGAAATGTCAAAGGGATATCGATAAACTAACCAAAATCAAACAAAAAACCAAACTGACTTGCTGGAGAAACAATTCACCAAGTTCCGGCCCCTAAAAACGCATGCAATAACATGTTATAACCTTGATGATAAAATCAGTGGTTTTTGTAGTAACAAAAATATGGAATATCTGCTGTTAGGTCAAGTTCAAAAGTTGAACTTCACATGAGACGAACTAGATTGCAATTAAGGTGAAGTTCGACCGTACGCCGGGTCAAACGTCGAACATAATTCGTCGACCAGGTTGAAAGCAGCGAAAACAAATCTTTCGGTCAAAGGGACTTCACATAAAGCAATTTGTAACTTACTCGTCAAGTTCGTTTCATGAAAAAGATCGAGGTTTTGTCCCACGCTCGATCTGCACACGATAAATCCTTCCGAAGCAAACGGACAGAGCGGCGTTGGTCGATCCGAATTCAATCGCACGAAGTCAAATGATTGAAACGTCCAACTTAACAAATTTAATTTACTCAGTTTAGTTCAGTCCTAAGTGAAATTCGACGTTTGAACTGGGCCTAATGGTTTTTCCTATAAAAATTGTCCAACAAAATATACACCGAATCAAAATGTGACGTCCGAATTTAATTGCCATTGTTTTGGACATACTAGCTTCGTCTTCACGTGGAAACACAAAAGGATTATCAGTTGTGTGAAAGGCTTGTAAGTCCAGAACAATGGCAATTGAAAATGGACGCCATATTTCGATTCGGTGTATTCTTTAATTTGCCTCAACGTTTCTTCTTTATGTTTTTTCCTTTCAAGGTTGCCTTTTTTTTACTCCAGTGATCCACACTGACTGGGAACGAGCAATCACAAGATTAAGAGTTGGAACTTCATTGGAAATTAATACAAATAATCAAAAGATACGAGAAATAGGAAAAAAAATACATTTAAAATGAAAAAGTAGATATACCTCAGCCTTACGTTTACTGTTTAAGCTAGGTTTTCTTTACCTCGACCTACTTCATGATCACAAAGACGAGAGTGAATATTTTTAACTGGCTAAGAATGGATGTATTGAGGATAAAGGGATAAAATAAAGTTATTGTAATCAAGTGTGGTTATGACTTCATTTGTTTCTTTTCCTTGCTTTTTTGACAACGAATACAGAAAAAATCCCTATAAAAATACACGTGTTTTGGTGGGTTCAGGCTGTTTTTGTTCTTATATATCGGGTGTTTTCTTCAAAATCAGTTTGAAAATGTTCTTAGGGTGTTCTTAAAATTGTTTCTAAAAATTGAATACTGCATAGAAATAAATGGACAAGCACAACATTTTAATTAATTGATTAATGAGTGGAACTAAACTCAACTGAATTTATCAGTTGTCCAGCACTTATGTTGATCTAGCTGGCGAACAATTTTATATATAATAATTTTATATTACGTATAGTTTACTTTTTGGACCAGATTTCAGAGGGTCTCAGTGGGGTGCTGGCTTTTACAGTTATCGGCTAAAATTTTGGCTCTTTTACGGCTATCGGTTAATTTTTTACAGTTACGGTTAACAAAAAAGTTAAAAATTAATTTCTTTGGTACCAAAAGGTTAAATATTAATAAACCTGTGTGTTTTTAATCTTTAAAGCAAAACAAAGGTGTTATGGTCATCTCAGGCTTAAATGAGTTATTCTTTTGAAAAAATTTAGTATTTGATAAATCATACCACTTCTAATCTTATTTTACGCATACAATTGTGAACTACGAAAAAGGATTCAATACAAGGCCATACACAATCTACCTGCCCCACCCAAGCACTACGACGTCTTTGATTTGATGTTTTGGCCGGTTTTCAAAGTTTTTGCGAACTGGAAAAGTTAGGGTCGCATTAGGCAATGTGCCCCGATGACAGATTTTTACACCAAAGTGACCACGTTCACACCAAACTTTGCCAAGTGCGACCCATGCCTTAGTGATCAACAGTAAGCGTTTTGCAAACAGTGACATCTCTGCTAGTTGCTTTACTCAGGTATTTCAAGCTCGCGATCTCGTGAAAATAACAAATATTAATCCTCAGTAAGAAAACCAGTCTTTCGCTATCGAAACAATTAGCTCCCCAAACATGTGGGGAGCTAATTTAGTTTCTGCAATCCGTAAGATAAAAGACCCGCAAAATTAAATTTCTTGCCACGCGGCATCAGAGTAGTCAGGTACAAAATTCATAACTTTAAGAGTACTTACTGTTCAGCTCGCTTTCACTATCTAAGTCAAGCAACAGGGGTAGTTCCAGATCTAGCTGCTGCTGGGTCGATAAAGAATAATTTTTTATCTTGCCGCTGATTTTGGCGAGGCGGTAAAGTTTAAGGTCAAATTCCCCAAGACCGAACTTCCTGGCTTGCTCGTTAAGACCAAGAAAGACAATAACGTTTTTCTTGAACGCTGAAAGTGTCCGATGCTCTTCTTGGACTTTGAGTCTTGCCTTGAATCTTTCGCTTGGCCTTTCCTCACCCGTTCGATTTTAACTAACAAGAGCTTTCAATACCGACATCGTTCAACTCACATGCACACTGGGTAAAGAAATTGGAGATCTTAAAACAAAAAGCTGTCAACTTGTCCTACAAAACGCAGGCCAAGTGAGGTCAAGGGAGACTACCGGGGGGCCTTGAAACGAGCTTGGCCTATAAACGTATGAACCACATGTATGACATGTATGGAGTCAAAGTCAGTAAAAAAAGAAATGAAACAGGTCATAAGTAAGTTTAGCACCTTCCTTAAAATTAAGAAATTTAGGGAACAATTTTTTTTACGGTTACCTCTTTTGACCCCATTTACGGCTAACGGTTAAAATTTCTTAATTTTTACGACTACCGACTAAATTTAATGGCCATTTTACGCCTCTCGGTTAACCCCATTAAGACCCTCATTTCAGCCTGAGTACTCTTGATCCATTGGTTACTTTTAAGCGGGTTTTTACTGTCTTAAATGGACGGGTCGTGTCATTAAAATCTCAACTGACTGACTGACTGAAGGACTCACTAAATGATTGACTAATTCAATAGATGAATGAATGAATGAATGAATGAATGAATGAATGAATTGATAGAAGAAAGAATGAATGATTGAGTAAGAGGGTAAATAAATAAATGGATGACATAAAGAATGAATGGTAAATGGGAAAATAAAACTTTGAATTCAAGAAAGAAACAGGAAAAAGAGGAGGCAGCAAAACAGAACAAAACCGAATTAAACAAACTCGTGAATACTCATCAGTATAGGCAGTGACCTCATAGACATTGAAGTTGAAAGGCAAAATAAGGAATTAACAGATATGACAAAGAACAAAGATAATAAATGTTTTGGCGTTAGCATTCAAACTTTTTTAATCCGCATCTTTTAAACATATGATATCTCGCGCGGATTAAAAGAAGCAAAGTGATGTCGTGTAAGGCATCACCGCCAGCGTGACCGCTGATTCAACTGCTCAGTGTGATTGAGTGCGCACAATCACAACCGCTCAGTGTGGCAGTGGGTCTAGTGAACCTGGGATTACATTTTGGCCGCGTTGTCATGAGTTTCCTGGAAGTGGCAGAGTTAGCTACCAGACCTCTCTGAACTTCGCACTTCCGGCTTCCACCTGTTGTAGGAAGACATCAAATCTCCGTTCCTCTCAAATTAGTCGAGGATAACATTATGAAAATCGACCTACTATACGATAATTGTCGTGAAACATGGCCCAAAGCCGTGTGCGCGTTTGCAAACGTTTGCGGCTACATCAGCTGCATAATCTGGCTCGTTGTTTTGGTGCCACAAATATGGAAGAATAGGAAGCGTCGATCTGTCGAGGGACTTAGCATTCTTTGGGCCACTGCGAACTTCACAGCCTCGCTGGTAAACGGGTTCTTCGCTTTTTCTGTTTCGTTGCCCGTGTATATCAGAGTATTAGCGGTATATATGCCCATTTTAGAGTTTGCCATATTAGTACAGTTTTGGCTCTATTCCAAGCACGCTCTGAGGATGAAACTATCCTACCCGGTTGTCTGTTTTCTAATCTGGATCGCAGTGATCATGTTAGAACTCTTTGTTGCCGATGCCGCGGAAAATGTGCAGTGGTTGGCAATCGTTCTGTGGTCTATTGAGTTATTTCCGCAGGTAGGCAGCTCAGTAAATTTAATTAATAGTTTTAAAGCTAAGACAATACTGATGTAACCCACACGCGAACAAATTCGAAGGTGATCTAAAACTTACTTCGTCCATTTTGAAAAATTTAGGCTTAATGTCCTAAACTCGTCAACTTTTCTCGAAAGGTTCTTATGTCAAGGGAGCAGTCCTTCTAGAAAGAAAAATAGCAATGTCCCTATTCCAAACTGATCTCTTTGAGTCCCTCATTTATTTCAAAGGAGAGATAATCTTTCCAAAACAAGGACAAGGCTTGTTGCATAAATCATAACCACATTCATCCTTTCTGGAGGATTTAAAGCTGGCCATGGATGGCAATTTATTGACCTGTGAGGCACTTACCAGCCTATTGCAGACTAAACTCCGACGAAGGGCTAACGCTCGAAACGTCAGCTTTTGTAATCGTTACGGTAGCCAATTTACCACTTCAACTTTGTTGATATATCTAAACTTTTAGTATTTGACTTTGTTTTGATTTTCTATAGTGGAGTATAATTAGACAGATTGCGTGCAGGCATTTTCTCAGGGCTTTATGTTTCATATTCGCGATCATTCATCTAACCATGAATAAAGGGTGATAGTTTCGAAAGAAACTGTTTGGGGCTGCGTCGGTGGGAGTAACGAAATAATTTGGATATATCAACAAAGTTTAAATGGTAAATTGGCCACCGTAACGATTACAAAATCGTTACGGTGTTACAAAAGCGTTACAAAAAGCATTACAAAAGCGTTAGCCCTTCGTCGGAGCGAATTCATCTAACCAGCCATGTTTGATTTGGAGTCAGAGTGACTGGTTGGGGGGAGGGGCATGGGAAAGGCAAGTACATGCATTACCCCACCTCTACCCCTCTCCTCCATTTTGATCATCACTCACTCATTCCCCCCCATCCCCCCCTTGGCACAAACTTCTCTTTCTCCCCAGCCTTCCACTGCCACTAAAATCAAAGATGGTGGCTATGATTTCCACTAAGAAAACCAATGGATTACACTTCTTTACAAATAAGATTAGGAAACAAAAACTATTGAAATTAAAGTGTTTGTATGATTGTGGTTATCTTGTGAGCAATTTAACCCAGCCTGTAATTCTCAGAAGTTCTTAACATGTAACCTCTCCCCTCAATATATATCCATCATTTATCCTGCAAAAAGGTAATAGAATACTCAAACTTAAACTTAAACCAACTTCTTGTTACAAAGTTTCAAGGAGATGAGTATTTAGTATAATTTCAGAGCTGATTGGTTGAGCGGTTCCTTATATG